ACGTAGTGATTTTTGTATTCTATACAGATCAAACTATAACAGTGGTCGATCTAAAAGCGAATCACTGTGTCAAAGGAATTTAACTCGATTCAAGCCGCTGAACGAGGATGCTTGCAAATTGAATGGATTAAAATATAAGTGGAAAAGAAGAAACCAGATAAGGAGTGCATCCAGAAGGAAATCCTTGCAAACAGAGTCCTCCTTGGAAGACTGAAGCCTTGCACCGAGGAGGGGAGATTGGCATCTATCTGTCCAAGATAAGGGCAAGGATTCTTAAGGGCAGGGATTCTCCCACTATTAGGAGCGTACAGAGGGAATCAGAAAGCAGTGCATTGTACTACAAAATCTGGAGTGAGAAGCTTGATGGATGAACTTGGGTTCTGAGTTGTTGTGGCCTCACTCCAAGGACGTGATTCTGATTCGGAACAGAGTGAAGTGGGTCTCAGAAGTCCGATGTGGGACCAGATCGTATAGCTGCAGTAGACTAGAATGCAGGGGATGCGAAATTGCAATGATGCGAGGAGAGGAGGAAATTTGAATGCATAGCCAGAAGCAATCTGGGCGGACCACTGTATGGTGGTCAACTACTTACTTGTACCTTTAAAGAACGAGAAACCACAGAAACTTTTCTTCAAGTCGAAGGAAGTGCAGACACATTTACACTTCGAAGAATCTCGCAGAAACGCAAGAGAGATCCAGGAGTAGGCCAGGCCAGCTTTCCCCCTCACCAATAGATTCTGGTCAGCTGCGCAGGAGACTCGGAATTTGGAGCTACCGAATACAGTGAATGCAGCAGCAGAATCATGTCTTAGACTGTAGAGCTAGAAGGGAGGAAGACCCATTTGAATGCTGTGACAGAAGGACTTGCACTGGGTGGTGAATTCAATTCCGTAGGACTGTAGAGTATATTATATCCGGCTTCAGCTGGACACAGTGCCGGGCATCGAAACAGTACGCTGCATGTGTCCAGTTCAGTTGTCCGGTACTGTACTGCATGTCATGAACCGGTGAGTAGTGCTCCTGCGAGCACCAGTGCGCCCTCGGGTTGAGCGTGCGTTTGCAGTGATGGAAACACAGTGTTTCCATATTCATTTTGCTGTTGGAGATTTCATTTATGCGAATTCTTGTACTTTCACATGAATCAATGACATCGTTACACTCGACTGTAGCGAGGAGACGAGAGCAGCCGAGAGCGAGATGAGGGGCCATTGAATCAACTGTTTTGGCAAGTCCATAGCATAGGCAGGGCAGGGGGGGTCGACCTTCCACCTGATCTTTGTCTGGACTGATGAAGCTCACAATTATTGGGCACAAGCGAAGAAAGTCAGCCATTGAAGCTGGACACATTTTACTCCACTCGCAAGTCAACCCCATGCACCTCATCATCCATTACTGTACAGAAAACTTTCGGCTCTGAGAGAGGAAAAGTAACCCTTGCGGCTTTGTGACGATTAGAGGAACTGCAAGAAATTCCAATAACTCTCACAGACTGAATGATTGATTGCTGTTGTGCAATCCCAACTGACCAAAGGACCTTTTTGGTCCGAACAGGCTTCAAGCAGAAAAGGTGCCTCCTTGAGAAGATGGCCAAAGTCTTACCGGTGAGTTGTACATGGACACATCAACACCAATCAGGTGTTATAATTGGATGTCGAAGGGGATGGTTCGTTTATAATGAATGACTGCCAATTACAGTCCACGAGAACCCCAAGAGGCTACTCGAACAACAGTTCCATGAAGCACGAAGCTGAACCTCTAGTGATTGTGACAATTTAGACATCTGTTTGAGTAAAGTTTCCACCAGTCAAATGCAAACTTGACAAGCTGGGCTACCTGATGATCGAACCGAGGGTGTCGATGGTTAGTGGGATTCTGTTATGCTCCAATTGAAGGTCCAAGTACAGATGGTTCTACAGTGTTGCACAATACTTCACAAGCGTCCGTCTCTGTACGAACTAGTTGATGGAAGAATCTTGAGACTGATGATGCGCCGAAGAGCAATCTTCGCATCACTGAACCAGCTGAAATAGTTTCTCAATTATCCAGCGTATCACATACGACCGAAGCATCCAGTGGGCTCTTTTTTATTCGTACATGAGACCATTTCTAACTTGTCAGGCTATGTAAAGTTTCCTCGTGGGTAGTTGTCCCAGCGCATTGACTCAAGTTCTTGAACATTGCCCATCACTCGCCAGACATGACATTCTCGTGTGGTGTTGTTTTTTAACCCTTGAACTCTATAAGCGGATAATGTCAACTACACGAGTTTGGTAGATGCAGATGGCTGGCAGGTCGTGCGGCTCAGAATTGGGAATTTTCTCATGATGAATCGACGGTGATCTGCAACCAAATTCTAGGCAGTCATTCATTGCCATGCCTCTACCGGAACTGGAAAAAACCCCCGATCGCCTCCTGATAAGCGCTGCACCAACCGAACCCTTGGCCTGCAGAACCTTACTAGTACGATCCGATGTTTCTTGGTCAGGTTAGTGCACTCGAGCACTTGCAGGTTGGAGATTGGGTTTTGGAATATGGACCCAACAAAAGCCTCCAAGACAGATTAATCGAGTACATATGAGCACAAGATTCGTCAACAGATGCCGTAACAGAGGTATAGTGCAGGAGTATATAAGAAGAGAGGTGATGAACCGCCCTATGTTGTAGACTAATTCAGCTCAGCGCAAGCTTTGTTGACATCAGATTGACATCAACTGAGCATACGTGCACGAAAGCGAGATGTAGAATTGCCAGGTTTTCAAGGCTTTCGGCTCCTTCTGTGATGTGTAAGGACACGTGCTTCAATTCAGTCTCTCCTGTTTCGGCTAAAGCTTCAGTAGTTGATCCAGTTGATGAGATGGGGCTCTGTACCCGGAAAGGAATGAGCGCCTCAACTTTGCAGTGCAAATCAGCCAGCAGTTTTCTGTTGCTCGAAACGTTTCAGGAGCCAGTAGACGCCTCAAGGTTTTGAGAGAATCATATGTGTAGGGTCCATGGCTGCGAGAAAGATTCGGGAGTACATGAAGGTTATAAACTCTCGTTCTCTCGTCACACGAACGTTCCATCCACCTGTCAGCAGTTCAGTGTCGAATGATTTGATTCAGACGTACTGACCAAACAGCATTAGTAGAAGATATGTTCTGAACGAGCTGAAGTGAATAGCCTGCCAACTTCCGCCAATTGATACTGCTTGCTTGACCGACCCGATTATGCATGGAAGCGCTTACGACACCATGTCCTTGCACTCCGTGACCAACTGTTTTTTCCACCGCTGCAGTGCAACAACCTCCAAATCAATGCTGTGTTTGTGTCCTCCACGGAAGGAAAGCAGTTCTCAACTGTCGGAGTCTTCTATCCAAATCCACCCACTGCTTTATGTGTGGTCCTATCTCTGTGACGCTCCCTGTTTCTGTAAAAGATTTTCGGCTGACTTCATACTCTCCAACAGATTGTTCACCTTTATCTCCAGATCCCAACAGTACATCCACCCAGAGTACATCACTAGATTGTGTTGGGGTACTGGAACGAGTACTCACTCGACCCTTTGCTTTTCCCTCTCGTGACCGTATCGACGACACTCTGAATGATGGGTGTGGTTTAACTCCGACGAATAACGACCAGGAATTTTGTTTTCTTTCAGCTTCATTGTCACCGACAGCTTGCCCATTCCCATGGCATGGTACCTCACACACCCCACACGCTCAGCGTGTGGGTGTAGGTGATCACACAGCGCTTCAATTTCATTATCACCTTGTACAGATGGTGAGAATAAAGATCAGCTGTTCGGTCACCACTGACAAGCATCTACCTCGAATTAGGAACTGATTTGCTGTCTGCGTGGAATGAGATGTCACGGCACTGAATTGGCTTCAGGGTCCTGTCTCATTTTTTAACAACCATTGTATGTTCTATATATTGATAACATTCTCTCTTTCGCCAAGGTTACGTGATTTACCTTCCACTGACAGGTTCCCTACGACGACAAACGTCGGCTTCTGATCGACAATTGGGCATCAGCATCGCTAATCTACTGGATGCTCTGTTTCAGACTCACCATGCGCCTGTGGACAGAATCATTGTCGTGTCTGAGAAGTGCTCACCGACGGCGAGATTGTACGTGTAAACAGAAACCTCGAGGAGTGAGCTATTTGATGGGTGAGTGAAACTTCCTAGGGTCAGCGAGTCTCTGAACTGGCCTACATTTGCAGCGTACATACACAAGAGCTGCACAGACCGAAAATCTCTTGAGGGCATATGTCTGGACATATGCCCTCTTCTTCATGCAGAGTCTCCGATTAGCCAGTTCAGAATCTTAAATATAACACGAGAAAGCAGGCTTGCTCCATAGTTGTGGCTTGATGAAACCCCTGAAAACAGCATCTTGCACATACTAAGGTCACCGTGTGCGATGCGGAACGAGGATGAGGGCAATGCATAAGAACAGGAATGGACAATGTGGTTCGTAGCCACGTGCTCTAATTTTCTGAGCTACGAACTTAGTGCTGCTTTTGTCTAGGGAGAAGGCAGCGGAGTGGGCGTCGTTTGATCTCATGTCATGTTTTCTGAGAGAACATAGAGGTTCTGCCTGTGTTGTATAATCTTTTAGTGAGGTGATAGAGACTTCGAGATTTTGTGATCTTTTCGTGAGGTAATTTGAGAGCACCGAACTGCCGAGCATGGCATGAGCAAGAACAACATTAGTGCATGACTGTGCACAGTGAAATTCAGCTTTCTTAATCCTGCAAGCTGTGGATTTCTTATTTGGAGTACATACATCGTCACATGCCTTGGAAATCAAACGCATCTATTTCACAGTAAACTCTACTCCGCTCATGAGATTTAAATTCCCATTCGGATGCTTAATTGAGACAACGAGGAAAAGACTAGTCCCATGAGTCTTTAGTCATTCATCTGTGCAGCAAATACTCATCCTGGCTCTCAGAAAAATGTACTGACCCAAATCCAAGAGCTCTGAGAATGATAAACCATGGACGAGTACTCTTTCCAAAAGGAGACAAGGAATGAAATTTGTAACGAACATGGTGAGACAAGACGGAAAGGATAAATACACAGCATCCCTGCATTCTTACATTAGGACAGACAGCTGAGCCAGCCCGTCCGTATTTACAACCTAGCCAAAATTGCTCTCACAAATTTTCGTCTTTCCAAGGCGTAGAATCTACAAAAATCTGGAATGTCCGCCCTGAGATGTTCGCAGTAACTTACTGAGCTCGTATCTTTCTTCTGACTCGAATCTCTTCCATCATCACGATACTCTTCGTGAAAGTTTAACGTACATTCATGTTACAACAGCAGGAGAGGCAGACATTGTTCACAGCGATCGCAAACCCGCAATCTTTCTGTTCTTCCATCTCTCCGCTATGTACAACTGACTACAAACAACTCTTCCATCGTCAGGTACAGCGCCACTCGGACCTCCCCCACCATCGCCGAATGATTGACCTCCTCTTTAAGCTCGAACTCAATTCTCCTCTTCTCACACCCACAGCCTTCACTTCCACTCCACCATTCCATCTCGAACCGTCAATCAGTCGGCCACAGAATTCATGCCATCGAAATTCAGAAAATTTCATGGCAGCACCATATGATCTGATACAAGATGAGGCTGGAGCAAGAAAGGCCAGGAGCAAGATCAAGATAGGGCTCCTCGGGACTCAGGATTGCTGCTGAGAGAGAAGAATGAAGAGTCCTTGCTTGCCGAGAAGAATCTCGTTGAGAAAGCTCATGAGGGCGACCCAGATGACAGGGGCCACGTCCACGCCTCCGACGGGAGGAATGAGTCGTCGGGTCGGGCCGAGAATGGGTTCCGTGGGGGCGTAGGCGAGGACAAAAGGGAACTTGCTGACAGGAATTTGAGGGTACCACGACATGACAATTCGGAAAATGAAGAGCAGATTGAAGAAGGCGAACAAGGGCCCGAGCACGGTGATGGCGAGCTTGGCCGTGTCGGGGTCCAAGTCAGCCAGAGGCACGCCCACCAGCCGGTGCACGAGCTCGAACGAGGCTGACGAGGTCCACGGGTCAGACATAGCCGCACCAGCAATTGCCGCTGCATTCCCGTCAAGTGCGAGCGCACTGCTGGAGGAATCGAGCACCGAGGTCGCCAGCGGCGGGCAGGCCATGATCAATCCGATTCGGTAGAGTCTGCTGCGCAGCAGCTGCGGATTGAATTCCACTCCAGCTCCTCCCGCCGCGTCCTGCTCGATTCCGTCCACATCGCGTCCCTTGCTCCGCACCATTCCCCTCGACTGCGTCGTCGCCATCGACGATCTCCTGACGCCATGCCGTGCCTGCAAATGCCTGAGACTCAAATTGGACCACCCGCACGGCGACGTACAGAGCTCCATCGCCCCCGACCCTCTGCCCCCAAGAGCACCTGATGGTTATTATCTTCCTACGGTCTCAGCTCAACTGTCTCGTGGCGGGGAATAGCGAGAGTTTTCTTCAAAGTGCCAATTTCTTCAGATAATACGAAGAAGACGTGAGGGGGGGAGACAGGCCGTTTCGGGCTCAGGCAGGCAGGCTCTGAGGAATGGACGGGGGAGGGACGGTCCGAGATAACCCAAGGGGCAGACGTAACCCAACCCTGACCTGAGCATCCAACAGGTGGCTAGCCCCAGTTCTTTTCTTCCTCGTGAACCAGGTTTAGATCGTACGGGGTTCGAGTTTCAACTGCCTAGAACCGTCTACCGCTTCCAGTTGATCGCAGCTGCGAAGTTTACCGGATTTTTCTTCTCGCCATCCAAATTATTTATTTCCATTCAGCCTCGTTGACTTCGTGGCTCATGCATAACATTGTACGGCGTAACGATGGCTCATGAGAGCACTTGCATGGGAAATGTAAGACTGAGCATACCGCTTTCAGTGGATCTCTGACAAAAAAATATTTGCAAGACTAGTGAAATTACACTAGTATCAACATAGAGTGTCCAGGTCAAAGCATGTAAATACAGTTGCGTAAATGACTTCACATTTCGTAATGTAGGTCATGTTCAAGAGCAGTATTTCTTAATACTCAATACTACTGTGTATAATGTGACACTCTCTATTTATTTAGTCCGAGAGGTTTGTAATGCTATCTATTCTGTATGTAACAGATCGGAACAAACCAGACCTACTAAAATCTGGCACTTGCTGACTTTGCCATATTTAAGGTAAATATGGCAAATATTGCAATATTGCAAAATTGGCAGCAGTCCAGTGCCGAGGACTATTATGCGCAGAGCTTCTTTATATCTTCAAATTGCTTTGCATGCATGATACCCGCCAACGACAAGTTTGTTATGCTTGTTCGGGAGTTACTTTTCTGGTGTTTCATAATGGTAAAGTCGCTCTTGACGGACGCCGTGTTAGGGAACGCTGTCGTTAGACCTCCACAAAGCTGTGCAGCTGCAAACAGCGACCTTTCAATCAGTCCCACGTTGGATTAAAGAAGGTTTTCTCGTCATGCGAATTGAGAGCTGGCTTCACGGCCTGCTCGCGCGCATACACGGCGATCAGCTCGCGATGTTCGATCTCAGTGAGCTCAATGTACTCGTCGTTCCAATGTTTCTTCAACTGCGGGCGAAACGGATTGATCACCTAGTTGATAAAAATTGCAGGGCAAAGCTTTACGAGCTCATCATGCATCACAAGTGATGCTTCAAGCTCACTTGGATTGTTCAAGTCGTCACGCTCGGCTTGAACGAGGGTACCGTCACCGATGAACATCAACAAGAACTTTGCAATCGCATTCACAATCTAACGTTTTTTGTTTTCAAAAAATTGCAAAAACATGTCTCGCGCACATGATACTTGATCGTAGTTGTGCAAGATAATTGATTCTGTTTTGACAATCCAATTATTCAAAATGATGTTGGCAGAGATTTCAACTTCGTCCAATTCGTTAGGAGCAAGCTTGACACTAATTGCACCAGCTGTCTCAGCAATCAGCTTTGCGACCTCTTCTTGCTGTTGCGAAATAACAAAATTTTGAGCTTGAATCGTACGGATTGTGATGGTAATCAGTTGAAAGATCGGCGCTAGAGCTGCGGCAACAATCCACCACTGCTCGGATGGCGCCGAATTGATTGCTTCTTAGCAATATGACCAACAATCGACGGAGATGAAGCTTCCAATCAAGCATGCTGCCAAATGCCGTCCAATGTGTCGTGTCTTTAGGGCATTGCAAATCCATTTCGGTTATGAGATTTTGTTGAGCTCAAAGATGAACGTTGAAACCATGTCATGTCTTCTAGAACTCTCCTTCAAACACTACTTGTGTTGCTTTCTTGACAACTATATCAAGCTGGTGATGAATGCACCAAACACGCAACACTGAATTCGAGCATTGCCTTTCAAGCAGAGTGACAATTCTTGCATGGCAACCAGTCATTGTGTTCTTTCCATCCAAGCTGATCGAGATGAACTTGTCTTGCCAAGTTGGACACACAGTGCTCAACAACACATCGATGAGCTTGACATAATTTTGAGCAGTATGTCGCTCAAAGAATGGAAACAACACCAGGTTGAGATTGAACAGTTTTCCTTTCACACAAAGTCAAATCCGCTGGTCGAGAAGGTGCACTCCGCGATGAGTACTAGCATCAATAGCAAGAGAAAAAGCCCATACATCTGGGTCATTCAAGACATTGAACATAGTCTGCAAGTTGAAAGCTACTAGAACACAAATGAGTTGACTAACCATATGATCGTTGACACCACTAAGCTTAGCATTCCGTGCTGCAGCGCGATGCTGTTCAATTACTTTCGCTGTCTGGCAAAAGGACAAGCCGATTGAGACGTGCTGAATCGCAAGATCAAATCTCATAGCGTTCTTGATTGTCACGTGATATGATCTATCGTCCTGGAGCTTAAACAGCTTCATCGCATTCATTTTGCTAATTGGAACCGCATCGTCATCTTCCTCATCATCATCCAGATTGAAGAATAAATCTTCCATCACGTCGTCGACAATTTTAGGTCGAGAAATCACAAACTTGAAGCTTTCCTTGTTGTTTTCAATTAACTGATGGATACCACCGAGCTCCTTATCCTTCAAATATGCAAGTTTCTCTTCATGGCTGAAGAGCTGATAATTTAGCCACTCTTTTGGGTGTTGAAACTTATGATGCGTCTTGTACGCCTATGATCGAAAAGGAGTCTTGAACAGTTTCGCCGACCAGAGGTGTACAAAACGCATCATAAGTCGACCGGGTGTCAAACGCCGGTTGCTGGCGTTTGACACTCGATCCAACACACGATTCGCGACTGAAACGTACGCAAAACATACATTGGACAGTCACAATCATCCCATCAACTCCTCTTTCACATGGCTGCAAGCAGTATTCAACCACATGCTTATGCTGAAATGGCGTCTGACGACTCATCAGTAACGCAGCACGGCAACAATGCTCTCGCTGGGTTGCTGGGGCCAGCTGGAGCTCTCTACGGCAATCCGCAAGTCCGCAAAGTAGTGCGCATCAGTTGCCAACAACAGTATCTATGATTCTACAGTATTCGATGTGTTAGCCCAACCTTTTATAATTTTGGCAAATATTTGGTGTTATATATGGCAAACATGGCACCTATTTTTAGAATGCCAGATTATAGGAGGTCTGGAACAAACTATTTGGACCTTGCTGCATATGAATTCCAAAGACATTTTTTATGTTGAGTTAACCTCTTGTTTATTAGTAACCTGGTTCCTATCTAAGTCTAACTAGGAAGCGTCACTTACGCTTGGGTATTTGATTCCATGGTATCACCAACACTTTTACTGATCAATATCCTCACACATCAAGTTTCTTTGTCGTGTACGTAGACCTTTGTGGCTAACCACAGAGTGTAACGTGGTTCATCACGTTACACTTGGCGTCTACTATGTCTTGTGGATAGTTGTAATTATACTGTCACTTGTATTTATCGATTCTCGATTTGTCACGGACATTTTAATCATTTACTCTTTGATGGTTTTTAAGTTAAAGATGGTTTGATATAACCAAGCATTGATTACACTCTACGGGATAAATTGAATTAAAATGTTTTCAATCAAATATAAGTACTACAATATTTCAAAAGTTTAAATTGCAGTAAGTGAAAAAAATGAATAATTTCAAACTCGCATAGATTTCATTTAAACTTTTAAAAGCTCTTAATACCCTGAACTTTTTAAAAAAAAATTTATCTTAGTTTGAAAAAATTCAAAATTTGAAAACTTCTGTGTATTTTATGTCAAAGAAAAAAAAATTAGCCAATGTTTTGGAATATATCATACTTATAATTGTTTTAAATCAACTTATCATAAATTTTAAATCAAAATTTGGTCAATTTGCAAACAGATTACTATGATATAGCATGCACAATACATGCTATATTATGCATGCATTGAGCAGGTGCATCAATCTATACAATCATTAATGTATCTAATATTAGAAAGAAATTTGCAACACTTGCTAGTCGTAAAACTTAAACATTGCATTTTATAGTTGTTGTTATCATTTGAAAAATTTGCATAATATTGTTCAAATATATGTTTATCTCAAGATCATTCCAACTTATAAGTGACTAACAATTTTTCTTCTTCTTCTTGGTTTCTTCTTGGTTGATGAAATTTTTTCTATCAAATTTTTTTGTTATGATAATTTTTAATGCATGTGATCATCAAATTTTTAGAGGTTTTTTGCTTTCAATTTTATTTTTAATCTAACTTATAATACTATTTCTTCTTCATCTCATGAAATAATATCAATAATGTATGGTTCATTTATAAAAGCTATCAATCTTTTATATATTAATAAGTTCATCAACAAATTAGAGATCAATACATGAAATGTGAATCTATTTTATTCTAACTATTTATATATATGTTTGAAGATATGTTGTCACATGTGATAATATATTTCACATGTGCATTTCATTTACAAGCACAAACACTATTTATTTTATGTAATTTAAGGTGTTTTAAAATGTTGATTTTCACAAGAAAAATTAATATATAGTTAGTGATAATGCATACAATTTTATGCATATACAATGAACCCAATTTATGAAATAGCAAGGAAATTTTTAGCATTATAATGTAATCTATATTTTTATTTAATTAAATTTGAAATATTTTGAACCTAATAATAACTATCATCAATCAGAATTGAGTAATTTTAAAAAGACAAAAAATTAAACAACATACACCAGAAATCAGAAAGAAACTATTGCTCTAAACAATTACTGGTAATCTTCTGTTGTACATAGATTTTTTTTAAGTTAAATTTGTTAATATTTATCATGTAAGTATGTATCCCATTCCGAGTGCTTAAATATTTTGTGATAATATCTATCAGGCAAAATATATGTTCTTATCTATATAACTATATAATCTACGGTATAAATCGTTGTGATATCATAGATTGAAAAATCTTTTTAAGAATGTCATCTACTCCAAACTATGTTTAAATTTTTATGCCCATCTAAATTCACGAGTATCGTAAAGTAATAAAATCAACTTTCATTGTATGATAGATATGTTTCTTTTTTAATTTTATATATACAATTATCTTCTAAATTCGATATTCAAAAATTTGCATTGTCATATCTCAATTATTATGAGAGCGAATCTCTTAATTTCGATTTCGCATTACTTTTTCATCAATGAAAATCTGACAACACTTGTAGTTGTTCCGATCCACCCTTCTGAAGTTATAATCTGTTTCACATTCTTTCATTGCCTTCTACGTCATATCTACGTGCGCTAGGTCACAAAATGATAAAACTTATTTTGACAGTTTAGGATATTTCATGTCATACGACTCGCTATTTATTGTGAACAATATACACTTTCTAAGTTCACACACTTCAATCATGCTTCTTAATTGAGTTTTTTAATAGACCAGAACATATATTTATATTTCGAAACCTTCCACTCTTAACTTTTTCAGAAACAAATCAAGTCTGTACCGTAACGACTCTATGTACTAAATCTCTTTGCCAACAATCTCTAATTGAAAAATCTGTCGATCCGTCCCCACTCTTCAACTTCACACAATTCATTTTCCATCAGTATCGGTATCGGTATGTACTAAGACATCATTTTTTGGCATTGCTTGACACCCACGATATTCGCATTCTCGTTATCTTAATTTCAAAAACCACCGATACCTACACTGATCAACCCTATCCCGCTACATCTATCCACTTCTCACTTCAAAGTCTCCACATTCACACATAAAATACTAGTCCATAGTTTCCACACTGTCATAGTTCTAGTTTTAACATTATAGCCTGAAGAACTCTTCCAAATTCTTCCCCGTTAGATCCTGAGTTCCCACAACTCGGATTTAGGGATAGTGACAGAAATCATTTTCTATATACATACTCTTGAAGCACAATCACGGTCTACGGACTTTTGAACCAGATATTCCATTTTTCTCCACAACCAGAGAATTGTCGTGATACAGAGGACCACGAGAATAACCCATAAAGCCTCGTGCCAGTATCAGGCACATGCGATGCATCAGACCACTAAGCCGGACATAGAATTGTGAGCTCTACTAGCGGACGTTCTCCCTTCAGAAACCACAGACAGACAGAAATAGAGGTGCAGGGATGCAAACCAGATGCAGGATACGAAAGTGAAGAAGGCTTGTTTTATTCTACGGTACTTACGTCATTACGTAAAGTACCGAAGAATTAAAAATAAATTTGAAGATCAGTCGAAGGAGTGCCAATATTTTATCTTTGGTACCAAAAGTTACAAGCAACAGGCCGGCAGGCCAAAGTATGTACAACATGGACAGCTACAAGTCTGCAGCAGGTGCAACAGAAATTATGTTTCCAACCCTAAACAGTGAGGAATCTAAGAGAGGCCGAGCAAAGGTCACACGCAAAACACTTTCACCGATCGATCCCGGCAATCGGCAAACATGAAGCCTCTTCCAAGGATCTCACCACGTCTAATAACGCCTTATAATCGAAAATCGTCTCATAAAAACAAGCCTCGACAGCCGAAGCTAGTCTTCATCATCCGCGGTAAAAGATGAAGTCCGAACACCCAAATGTCCGAACATGAGCATCAAACAGACAGGTCCGAATGAAGAAGTCGAAGTAACATTTGAACGTCGGCAACCGAAAGTTGGAAGTGAATGCCCCTTCCTTACACCAGACTCGGGCCTCGCATTCCTGACACATCTGGAAAATCTAATCCACGCGCTTCGTCTTAGCAGCCTGCTGCTGGAGGTGCTCTAACCGAATTTGCATGCGAGTAACCCTGAACAAGAGCCAGTAGAGAAAGAGTGTGGTGATGACCAGCAAACCATTGCGCTGGCTCTTGAGCAGCGATTTCGCTTGCTTCTCCATCTCGCCGGGGTGCCCGTGTACCTCGGGCATGTTCTGTATTTTCCAGAAAATGTCCACTCCAAGAAACAGAGCTAAAGGAACCGCTGCTAACATCGGCTGCAGCAAACCCTGCGCGACCTGGATCAAACCCTTCCTCAAGCCCTCTAATCCTGGAAGCGTCAGCAGAGTCAAAAGGATCGCCTCGGCTCCAGCCACGAGAGCGAGTGCCAGCCATTCCAACGCCATCGCTGCTAAGCTCCCGCTGACAGAATCTTGATGCTCAGACCGCTCCCCGCTCCGCGACCCTGCTACAATCGATCACGATGCGCACAACGCCAACCTCGCGTCGATCGATCGAATGTTGATGTTCTGATCCTCGTTGCACCCAACCCTAAAATGGCAATTTCATCGACAATAAGCTCAATCATGCACTCGCGATGTCCGTCTGTCTACTCTTCTGCCGCCTCCCAGCGCAAGGAACTTTAACTCCTTCGTCAGTCCTCGCGCGGACGCTGACTGGTAGTAACCCGGTCGTCGACCTCTCAGTCCCGTAACTTGAACACGTGTCCGATATAAGAACGCCGCGAACGCGGTCAGGGTGGCATGGGGAACCAGGTTGGCACCGGAGACTTCTTGGACTGACAGTTGTCAGTTAGAAGTGCATGGCCTGCTCTGCCATCTGTTCAAAATGACAAGTGGATAGGCCGGACTGAGTTTTCTTCTCAACAACAACGATTGTCAATCGGCCTCGCACCGACAGGTGGCGCCGCGTGACTGGTCGATCGTCGTTCCTCTTGCAACGTAGGAGCCGGCGATCCCGTGATTCTCCTGTACTGCCGGTGAATGTCTTGAGTCTCTCTCCAGTTAGGTTTGAGCCACGTAGCGCAGTAGTACACTTGTGCATGCGAAGTGTAGTATGGAAGCAGGTGACTCTGTGGGGCCAGTTCACATGTGCACTGCTGCCCCCAACTTCCATTATTATTATTGCAAATACTCCCAATTCGAGCCAATACGAGCCTAATCAATAATTTCCTGGCAGGCTTCGAAGCTACTCCGTGATTATGGCAACAGCTGTCCAGAGAACCATGACACCACCGGATTGTAAAGTGACAAGGGGAGCCGATTTTACAGGGCTGAAGGTCGTTGTACTGGACCACGGTTGATGCCGTACAGAAGCACTAGTAGAAAACTTTTCGTGGTCTCATGTGTCGTTCCATAGTTTCCATGATACAGGACATGAGCGTAATCTTCTATCTCCTTGCTGATGTATTAATTTAAGTTTTAATTTTGTCAACTCCTGTGTGGATCTGCATTACTAATTCCTTCCTTTCCCTGAGCAGTTCATCGAGGAACTTACACTTGGATTTTATACATGGTCACATGTGTCGAGAGGCATGGAGCGGCATTCAAGGAGAATTCAATGTGCTAAGGTTTGACCTTCTTCTCAGTGGAGCCTTCGCTTGTCAATTTGGAATCTTACAAATGCTCATTTCTACTCTATTCTCGTTTGCTTATCGTAAACCTCCTATACATCAATCAGATGAGTCCAAGTCTGATTGCAAATGATAAAACAGGTCTCAAAAACCTACACTTCTCCACTCGTCCGATTTTCAAAAACGAGTTTAGATCGGGATAAACTCTTAAGCCTAATCTCCTAAGCTTCAGAAACGAGTGAGACGGTACAACAACATCTCCCTCCTATCGCCTGGTCTACGTATCTTACACTCGGACATGGTCCTCAGGATCGCAAAAGTGAAATTGTTCTGATTTACGTCAGGCTTCTATCCAGTGCATGTGACTCCAAGGCTTCCATCACACTCTCCACCCACCTGTAAAGTCAACATAGTTCATCCACTTGCAAATCCGGTGAGCTGGAAATGAGGTAGTTAGGTTGAGAATCTCAGTTGTTGCACTATGTGTACACCACAAATGTAAGTATTTAAAGGGTCGTTTTCAGTACAGTTAGTCATCCTTCTAAACGAGGAAGTGAGGAGGATTACGATTTGAAGGTTTGAAAATAGGACACTGACAATCATAAGAAAGATGCAGGCTAAGTTTAAGCCCTTAGTCAACAGTGCAAGACAGAAACACAATCTCCAACTAGAGTGCGTTAACACGAAGTTTATCAGTTTCCACATGGGACTACCTCATGAATAGCCTCAATAGATAAACAAGCTGAAGAACCTTACCCATCAATTCCAGGGCTGTCGGGGCAGAAGACCTTGCTCAGACCCGCTGTTTTTGCAGCCTTTGCAGAAGTTGTCCCGATGCAAGCTGCAGCACCATTCCATGGCCCCAGCAATTCTACCCATGCCCTGATTCCAAGTGCACAGAAAAAATGGTGAGCCTCTGAAGCCACGGAAACACTCCAAACCACTGACCTCTAATTTGTGTACTCTATACAGGGTACGGAAAACTATGTCTTCATGACATGTTTCCCAACGCTCCGGTGATTTGAAGTATCTTCAAGGCCAAGGAAGCCAGATGACAGATCAGAAGGTCAGTAGTGCACCTCACGGCGGTGGGCGAGGCAAACGTTGCAACAGGGGCCGCCAGTGCAGCTGCTACTTTATCTTGATCAAGAGACTTCACACTTTCCTGGCAGAGTCACGCGTGGAGCAATCATGTACACAGACTCAGGAATAGGTCATAGTAGAAATGACAACAAATCATGAATTCACATTTGCTAAATACAGAAGAGAGAAAACTGGAGATGCTAAAACTTCAGTCAGTTACCGTTGAGTAGGTGTTGAGTCGCAAAACTTTAAAACCACGTGCAATTAAGCCAGTTTCTGCTCAGGTGAAAAAAAAAAAAAGTAAAAAAAGTGTAAGTATCTTTGCGTGGTGTAGACTCTGAATCTAAAATCATTTTACAATTATCTTTTCTCTTGCCTGCGGAAACGACAGGTTAAGACACTAACGTGACCTAGGTTTAACCATAAATCTCATCAACTTATGGAAAGCTGCCAACATGGTTTATGTTTCGCTACCTATAAGAACGTTCAATTGCTTTCTGTTCAAAATTTTGTCCAGATAAAATATTCTGTATCTCTATAGAAAATTACAGTTGGAGAATCAAGTTTGAACGTTTGCGAAGAATGAGACCCTCTATGACGATTTACTGTTCTCTGAATATATCACATGCTTGTAGCATTTTTTTTAATGTGACTGTATTATAGCGGCCCACATAAAATACGCCTAGCAATTAATGTTACACATGTAGAAAGATGTGCTGCGAAGAAGTAAAGCTATTACTCTGAAGGTCGACATACCAAGATCACTGCCAGCCTTTGCCGATGAAGGATAGAGAATTGCACCATTTCCACCTTCCAACTTCGGCAATTCCACTGCCAAGACCTTTGCTGTAGCTGTATCAAACGAGAAGAAACTCATGAATTCTTGCGTTGGAGTGAAGTGAATGAGCTTACTTGGGATGTGGAGTTCACCCTACAACGACTAAATGGCACAAAGTAATAGGAAATCAACCACGAATTGTTACAGTTCATTTATAAAGTTCAGATTTAAGACATGGACCAAACATTAAAACAGGCAAACCTTTGGAAGGCGTGAAAGCAACTTCGAGCTTATCTAGGTTATCCTTCATCTCTTCGAAAACTTCTCCTGTTCCAGATCCTACAACTGAAATTCGGACCTTGGGACAAGCAGCAGCCCTACAGCCAAGAGTAAAGTTAATACTCACACTACTACGAAATTCCCCGACAGAAAAATCAGTGCTGCGAATGACAAGTGTTTGTCATTCGCAGCACATCCATTTGAGAGAGATTTTGGAAGCTTACAGTTCCGGATGAAAAAGGTTAGAAAGAAGGAACTCAAATTTCTTATATACCTCCACCCACTGAGAAACACTGTGGCAGCTTCAGGTGAGGTTATCACTATCCACTCGAATTCAGTTTCTGCAGACGTAACCCATTACAAAAGGGATTAGGATCACTTGCCTAAATCCAACAAAATCCAGTAAGAATATTACTCCCGCTTACACATGGTATATTTGGTGGCCCAGTAGACGCAAGCATGAACTTCGAACCTGTACAATGGTTCAATAGATTCTAGAACTTTCGAGGATCACCTTACGAGCAAAAAAAATCTAGTGGCAGATGGTAAAATCGGCCCTTCATCTTCGCAATATACAAGAACTTTCTGCCACTACGCATCACCCGCAGACACAATTTGAGTGATATATTCATCACTCTCCGAGCTAAAATTTCTGCATCCATACCGCGAAGAGTTTGTGCAAGTTTTGGATAATCTGCTCCTTCTTTGTGTTCTATCAGCGGAAGCTCCAAACAGTTTATTCCCCGAGCACTCTGAAAATTTACAACCCGAATAGAATTGATTCAGTGAAAATAGACACGATCACATTTTACCAAACAGTTGTGAAACATAAACAAGCTAAGCCCGACTGTTAGCATTTGTGAAAGAAAAATGATGGAGAACAAAACTTTCGACAGTTTCTTGTACCGCTAATGCTGACAGCATACAACTCAACAGCAGATTTCGCGTGTCATAGCAGTTCCCAGATTACTACAAGCGAGATGAAGGAGAACAAGTTTTGTCCTCAAATTCAATAAATTAGGTGGCACACATTTCAAGCAGTCCGAGGGTTTAAATAATGTACAAGCGCATTCATGAGCTTGCCGTTCTTCCCCTGCTCCCGCGTGACCACCACGGTGGCATTCTCCCTCGCTGATGAAGCCGAGGTGTAGATGCTCCGATTTTTCACCACAGTGGCATTCTCTGGAATGACATTGACAATTCGGAATGTAAACAGGAGGATGCAGAAAGGGAAGAAAGATCCGGGCACGCAAACGACCAGCTTAGAAGAGCCAGCCAGAAGAGCTCCCACCCTGTGAAGAAGCTCGAAGACGCTTCGCTCCAGCTTTCTCCCACACGCCCGGCTGAATTCTGCTCACAAAGATTCTAGCGCTCTGCGTGCGCACCACATACGACGACGATGCCACAGACAAAGGCGCCATGGCACAATGCAGGCTAGCACAAGCCATACTCGCCATCGTCCCCTCGGGCTCCCCGTTCACAAACTGCCAATTCGATGCTGCTCTCTGACAGGCCTTCGCTTCTTTCTCTACATCGAGTCCAGAATTACGGACCTCGCTGCTACTCGCTTCCACGCCTCCTCCTCAGCTCCACCAGACTGGAAGCAAATGCATGGAGCCTGGCCTGCCTGGCCTTGGATCAACAGGATTTGGAGGAAGCTCGAGCCTCAGCTGAAGAGAATGCTCGCTCAGAACAGAGACAGTCAGTTGGCAGCAGACCGGGATGACCGGGATCTCTGGGATCAGTCAGTCAATTCGTTGCATCTTCGCTTGCGAGACCTCTCCCTCAGATGACGACGATGGTTGTCGGCTCGTGGATGGATAGGAAAGCAGATAATCCTTCGGTCGTGACTTGTCTGCTCCTTCCTGCTCCTTCCTTCTCCTCGTTTGCTGCTGCGTGCACTCGTGTCCCCAGTCGCATCTGCCCTGCTCTTCCTTCCACATTACTCCCCGACACCTCAGGACATCAAGCTATCCCATCGACTATTACATGAATGAATGAAAGTGAAGTGGTATGATGGGCTAATTCCACTAGAAAATACTATTACTGTTGTGTTTGATATGATATATCATTTTATTTCAAATTGCATGAGTATAAAAAAAAAAATCAATTCTCCGGAGTTATTTTTCATATGAATTACATATATTTTTACAATTTGTTATTAGTTGAATTGCTCTGGATATAAATATACCCCCAATGTTTTTACTCGAACATGTATTCAATTGTAAGTAAATCTTCTCATGTGTTTCAGTCGTGTAAGTAGTACTTGATTGTGAACCATATTATATGAATATCTCTTGTATTTTTACTTGGCTTCAATGATTTCTCGTTTTATGTTTGAGTATTGGTATCGGAGCCGGTTACAATTCGGACTTTGTGTCTCAGCGTGTTTTATGATAGTGGTTTCAGGTTTCTTTTTTCTTTTTCAGTTTGGAGACTAAGGTTTACAAGTTTTGATTCGGAGTTTGAAATCATTTAGGTTTTAATCTTGTGAGAGAGTTATGAGTTATGACACTGGTTTTTTCTTCGTTGAGGAAACAACTGACTCCATTGTGACAGAAGTTTTCTGACTGTGATAGTTTGTCGACGATTTTTTGATCAATGATGACAGTTTGACGCTTTTTGAAGTCGACTCACTTTTTTTCGGACAAATTTTGATTAGTGACGATTTTGAATTTGTGACATTCTTGATCTTTCTGTTACGTTTTTTAAAGTTTGATAAGTTACTTACCTGTGGCTCGTGTGTTTGAGAGACTATCGGAGCAATGTTGTGTGGCAGATTTGATGTGTAGTCTGAAGTCGAAGAGAATATAAGGCATGGAGATTCATAGTGATCTTGAACAGAAGAGGCTATGGTTGAGTCAAATCAAGTATGTTACTCATATACTTGACAAGTACAACATGCTCGATCCAAAAGGACTATGGACCCCTTTGGCAACACATTTCAAACTCTCCACAGCTGAATGTCATGTGTTCCCTATGAACAAGCTGTAGGTAGTCTCATGTATTTGATGGTGTGCACTAGGCCGGACATTGCTTTTGCGATGGGCAAGGTGAGCATGTACATGTCGAATCCATCAAAGGTTCATTAGGAAGCAATGAAATGGATTATGAGATATTTGAAGAGTACTTTGGATTATAGCTTATTGTTTTATGGTCTATTAAATAATGTCAAATCCTTGTTTGGTTACGTTGATGCTGAGTACTAACAGGATCTAAATAAAAGAAAATTTACAACTAGTTATGTGTTTACACTTGGCGATGAAAGTATTAGTTGGAAGTCTACCTTGCAGAACTGTGTGGCTCAGTCAACAACGGAAGCTGAATATGTAGTAGAAGCAGAAGCGGCAAAGGAAGCTATTTGATTGGATAAGCTTATCATGGAAATAGGATTAAAGTAGGGCGTGGTTAATTTTCATTGTGATAGCCAGAGTGCTTTACATTTGGCTGCAAAACAGGTCATGGATAGCAAAGTGAAGCATATCGACATCATGTACCATTTTATCAGACAAACAATGTTTGATAAAACGACTGAGCTAGTCAAGATCGACGGTAAAGTCAATCTAGCTGATGCTTTGATCAAAGTTATTACTTTGGAGAATTTCAAGCGACACTGTGCTACCATGCAGGTTGTGCATGGGAGCACATGTAGAATTTGTTAGCATAGTAACTTCAGTTATGTGTTAAAAATATTTACTCTATCTTGTGATGGCTAAGGTTTAGCTCTAGTTAACTCTTGTGTAAAGAGAGAGCTTCTTTTAAGTTTCTTTGTAGAACTTTCCGCGGAGTAATTATATAAACCACAAGATTTTTGATACTTCTACGCAAGCAAGTTTTCTATTTAACTCTTTATGTTATTACTCTATCATGTTATTGTCTCGGTCTAAATCTAGTTAGCTTTCATGTAAAGAGTGGTTTTGTCTTAGGTTTCTGTTTAGAATTTTCCGCTGAGTAATAATATAGGTTGCAGAAGTTACTGTTTCCTTAACACGGTTAAGAAGTAACTCCAGGTTATAGTTATTTATACCTAGGTGTGTCGCTGGTTTTGGATATAAATATATTCCCAAAGCTTCTACTTGGGTATGCATTTAGTATTCAGTTGTACTTAAATATTGTTGTGTGTTTCAACCGTGGACGTAGCTCTTGAGGGTGAACCATATTATATGAATTTCTCTTGTGAATGAACTTGAACTATGTCTATGAACTTGGCGTGAATTATTCATTATTTTACGTTTGAGATTACTCTAGTATTAGATAACTTTCTTACTATACATCAGCAATCATCTACAAAAACTGTTATTTTTTTTCTTAAAACAATTTTTTTTGTACAACAAAGAATCTATCATGATGTACTTTAACCATAACATTAACTTAAGATACAGAGAATATAAGCAAAATATTTGTCAATGCCAACTTCATAATATGATATTTTGCTCTCAACATATTTTATGTGAATTTTATTTTGACAATATGAACATAGTGCGTTAAAACTCATATATAAAAAAAATTACAATTTTAATATTTTATGGAATAATAATTTGTGCCATCATATATTTGAATTCAAATTTTATATGAAATTTTATTCTTTTAAATTCATTTTTATTTCAATATATAATTATTATTTTATTATCTATAATTAATGTTGATATAAGTTTCAAATGTAATATACATGTGAGTGTAAAAATTATTATTGTCATATTTCTAAAATTTTGAATATTTTTTAAATTGCTTTTATTTAAACTAGATAATACATTTTACTTTTTTATAACAAAATACATCAAATTAGTATATTATATGATTTTTCCAATAATTTTTTCTAAATATGTTAGATATTCTATGCATGTTGCAAAAACATGATTATTTCATTTATTGATGCTTTAAATTATATTTTGTAGCTTTGAAGTATTTCAAATTTGTTTGTTTGAAATTAAGAAAATTGTGTGTTCAAAATTTTAACCAAACGGATGTCTTAAATATTTGATCATTTATTATTTCAAATATTAATTATTTCAATTCATCTTCAGTCTAGTATTGTTAAAAAAATTCAATTATTTTATAATGATAAATTTTTTAGTGGATGTATCAATATTTTCAGCATATGGTATCTTTATTTTGCTATATATATGTATATATATGCAAAAACTTTTATGCTTTACTTTGAGATAAAGTGTTTAGTTTTGTTAACACACAAGTCTGTGTTTTGATACTAAATTATTTACTAAATGTTCAATTTTATCTATTTATGTTATATTTATATGATAAAAAACACTCAAATAAAATTGAATCATTGACTTTAATCATTTTCATTCAATTAATCAAATCTCTAATTTTTTTTTACTATCAAACCATATCAATTTTTTGATTATAACATAATATAGAATGGAGAGTGAGTATATATATATATATATCCATAACTTCAAATCTAAAATTTGTTCTAATCATTTGTTAAAATTGTAACTGAAATTAATTATAGATTTTCTGTGTCTTGATTTATAAATTCATAGATTTGTGATAAAAAATGTATACATAATTTTAAATAAAATCATAAATAACATATGATATTTCAAATATTTCCAAAACTAATATGTTAAAACTAATATTATTTCTGAATTATTCTGATAGATATTTTAAATGTATTGTAAATCTTTTGCATGTGAATGTAAAATTCTGTTTTTTTTAATTGCAGTTATATAAAAAAAATTAAATGTAAAAGGTTTATTAATAAAAAAATGTATAAAGAAAAATATTAAATCATTTATATTGTATGTTTATCAATATAACTAAAAGTATTAGATAAATATTTCATTCATGATGCCAAAAAATGAGTATATTATTTTTTCATGTTTGAATATATTTTTTTAAATTGAAGTATACCAAAAAAAGTTTTAAAAGTAATTCAAATTTATATTAAAATAATTTTAAACAAAATCATAAGAAAATTTATCATTTAATTGTAATATTAAATATCTAATTTATTCTAAATTTTATATATTTATTAAAAATTAATTATTTTATAAAAAAATATGAATTATAATAATAATGTTGTAGTTCACCCGCACTTGGACTCGGAAATAATCAAAAGTGAAAAGATTGACGATAATGCCGTTGGTTCACTTCAAAAACGTCGACTACAAAAATTCATCCTCCAACTCAGACATTCCACTCTAGGTTTTTCATCCCCTCCTGCCTATACAAAAAGCACCCAGAAAAAAACTCCACTCAACATTCCCCATTCATTCAACGCTAAATGTAGCATATTATGAACTAGTATTAGTAACGGTGGTGGAATACATGATTAGAAGGCAACGGGTTTTAGACAATGGGGAGTAAGATGCATAAGATAGGATTTCACAATAATCTTGTTGTATTTAATCACGGAATGGTGTATTAATGTTATGGTGGCAGCTCGTCACATGAACTGAAATAGCATTTTCACACTTTTAATGAAAATTTCCTTAATTCAATATCTTCTTGTTTAAAGCGTAATATCAAAATTACATGCCACAACTAAACTCAACCATGTTCTAAGCGGTGATATATCCACAATCCAATTTACCTGTATCCAAAATTACAGGCTTCGTATCCTGCAAATTTATTTTCCATGGGATATTTCTTTCAACGCTTGAGGTGCAAAGTCGATTGTGTAAGGGTTTTTTGGGAAACCTTTCAATGTACTGCATTCATTCAATCAATTGTAACCTGCTTGACTAGATATTTCACACTATTGATTGATGCTCCAACCTAGGTCATTTGCAGCTTGTCATTTTATAACGATGTGAGATATGTAAGGTTTTATAGGTATGATTTTTTAA